TGCTGAATCAGATAATATCTTAAATTGCTAAAGTGCCCTTTTTCTTTGGCGGCACTCATATTATGTGATGTAATGTACGTAGTGCATAATCTAAAAAAAGGTATCTAAAAAATCTAAAATCAATACTGCAATTTCTGAATATATTTGCCAGAAATACTAATCTATTGCAATTCATTTGAATAATATTAGCTTCTAGAATCGTTATTTTAATATTAATTTTTAGAATAGTGCTTTTGGTCATTATTAAGCTGAATTGCGATGCAGCAAAAGGGCATACCTAACCAAAATTGTTTAGCCTGAAAAGTAAAGTTAAAATAATGATTCTAAAAGCTAAATACAACTACAGAAAACACTATATGATCTTTAAGAGGATCGAATTGTATCTCTTTCCTCCTTACTTCTGCTCATATATATAAATATGCATAGGTCTTAATGGGCACTTCCACTACCCTTAAATATAGCATAACTGTAGGGATGTTAAAAGTTCTGTTAGCTGCAGGTTTCAATTTAATAAATAATAAAGTCAAATAGAGGAATTAATAAAAACTAAAGCGGGTAGGTTCTTGGATGAGGCTGAAGATATAGTTCGAATTTTAAAAGAGCATTGAACTAAAAAAAAAAAAAAGAAGTGAAAAAAATTTAAATTTTTCAGATAAAGAAAAAAAGTAAAATAAAATACTCCTGTTTGCAGTTCTAAAAATAATAAATTAGCCATCGCTCAAATATAAAATAAAATTAATAAATCCTTTTGTAAGAATTAAAGTATAAAAGGAGCGTATATACTAGCAAGTCCGCAATAACTTCAAAGATAATTCTCAATCTACTCTAATAAACTCATCAATAAAATCTTTGTAAAGTAAAAAAGTATTAATAAAACATTCTTGCATATCTGAATTTCTTGATAGTCTTAATACACAAATTTACACTTGAAACTATAAACCACAAATTATGTCTCTGTCCCCACCCTCAACTGGTAACTTTGAAAATCGTGAAGCACTTATTAATCATGTTCAAACCTATGCCTTGAGCTATGGATATGCTGTGAGCATCAAATGATCTGAGCGAGAAAAATTTGTCTATTTGCAGTATGATAAAGGTGGTCATTATATTAATCGATTGAATCTCACTAATGAAACTCGCCAAAGAGCCACAAGCACAAGGCTAATAGATTGTCCTTTTGAGCTATATGGCAAGAAGATGAAAGATAGTCAATGGTATTTAACAATAAAAAATGAAAAGCATAATCACGAAGCATCACAAGACATCTCAGACCATCCATCAAGTCGCTGATTAAATAAAGAAAACCAGCAAAGAGTTAGAGAAATGTCTACGGCAGGTGTTCGCCCTTGTGAAATCTTTCTACTCTTCGCCAAGATGACCCGGATAAATTGGCAATCTTAAAAACTATCTATAATGCTAGGGATAAAATTCGCCGTGATAATCTTCAGGGTCATATACCAATTCAGGCTCTTCTTGATAAGCTTGTAGAAGAAAACTTTGAACATGACTATCAATGTGATCAAAATGACAATTTAACCCATCTCTTTTTTGTATATTCTAAATCAATCGCATTTACCAAAATATATAACTCTATTCTTTTAATAGATTGTATATATAAGATTAACAAGTTTAAGATGCTATTGCTTCACATTGTTGGCATGACAAGTTTTAACACTACATTCTTCTCCTGCTTTGCGTTCTTAAAATCAGAACAAAGAAGACAACTATGTGTGGGGCCTTAATCGTGTTGCTCATATTTTCGAGAACATTCCAAAGCCTAAAGTTATTATAACAGATCGTGAATTAGCCTTAATGCATGCTGTACACACTGTGTTTCCTGAATCTCAAAATATTTTATGCGTTTGGCATATTGAAAAAAATATGCTGACTAGCTGTAAGCACCACTTTCAAATAAATGATGAATGGATTGAATTCATGGAATGCTGGTCTAACCTCATA